AAGCTGACGCACACTTTCAAAGTTCTCTTCGAGATCAACATGAAGGCAGCTTTTAAGGGATAATTTCTGGTCCTTCTCTGCATTGCTGGCTATATGGCATGCTGAAGTGGGACTTAATTTTTTTTTAAGTCACTATTTTGAAATGTATAGTCTGGCAATTTCACACTGTTCTCCCTTTCAGGGGAGCTTTGATTAAAAATAGCACTTTTCAGGTCAAAATGTAACTATCTATCAAGAAGTGATTGTTATCATTGCATTCCTCGCCCCCAAGGGCATTTGTGAGAAACTCTAACTTGCTATCTTTCCATTTGAATGTGCGTTGAGATTCATAGCTGAAAGAGGTGGCGGTATTTGCAGCTACTATTGGAGTCAGTAAATCTACATTGCAACAGCAATTTCATTTTAGGCACAAATATTCCTGTTGTCAAATCAATGCTTGGAGTTTGTAAGTCATTTTCCAACTGTGTAGTGCTTTCCGAGTTTGCCCTCGTAGCCACCGATCTTCACAGCGCCCTTGCCAGTATAAAACATACAGAAGAGGAAGAAGGGAGAGAGGGCAGGGAAAATCAGTGGTCAACGGGCTACGGCTCTCTCTCCACTTTGCAGAGCCCCTAGTCTGCTGTGCACAGGCATTTACACACATATCATCCCCAGTGCAGTACTGCTTCTTCCAGGTTGTGCTCTGAAGAGCAAGGCTGGCATTTGGAACAAACTCAGATTCTCTCTTTCTTCAGCCACCCTGTGATGTAAATGATTCATTATACCTATTTGCGTTTTGCTGGAGCTTGGAGGCCTTCTCGAGGTCTCTTTTGTGCACTCCACTGCAAAAGGCTTAAAGAGCGCTTCTGCCCCCCAAAGAACTCACAAGCTAAAATTATATGGAGACGCAACAGGTAAATCAAACGGATTGGGGACAGACTGATGAACTAAGAAACTAGGAAATGCTCGCTGAATACTACTTAGATACTCAAGAAAGTAGAGACCTAGACTTTATTTGGAGTCCTTGCTCAAGTTAGCCTTAGGGTTGCTCTCAGTGAATCAGGGCCAGTTATGCTCCTAAGACTTTAGCACTTAAACACCTGGGCTTTGGCAAAGAGATCTTCAAAATGGCCTCACTGCTATCAAGGACAACACTTTCCCAGTTTTCCTGGTTCTAGTATTTCAGTTGCATCTGCCTTGTACTCTGCTGTCAAAACTGGAAGAGGACCTACTCTCTGCAGTGTCTTTTATTTTGTTTTTGCCACATTACCCTTTTCTCCTTTTTTCTTCCTGGTCCTGTCCAGGTGGTCTTTCAGCATGATGCGCACTTGCCGTTCATTCTGCATGTCTCGGATGAAAGAATGCTTAAGCAAGGTTTCAGTGGACGGACGATGCAAGTAATTTTTTACAAGGCAGCTTTCAACAAAGTTTAGGAATTTTTTTGACCTGAAAAGATAGAAAAGTGGAGGAAAACAATAATCCTTTTCAACTTGTGCACCAAGCACTACCCCCAAGTGATGGAAAGCACTAGCTTTGCAAGGTTTCCTTTTGCACTGGAACTGCGTGAGACAATTTGAGTTTTGCCACCAGCGTGCTTCCTGAGACCAGCACAGCGCTGAGGGCGAATGACGGGGAACTCCACTGCAACTGCCCTCTCAGTGGAGTCACCCTGAATTTACGTCCAGATCAACAAAACCACAATCTGGCCAATGCAACTCTTTCAAAAATACCCTTACCCTTTTGATATGGTGAAGATTTTCCTTGTACATTCCATTTAAAAGACAAACTAATTCTCTGTAGGCCACAGTGACTGCCATTAGCCCCACAATGTCCATGCAGTCTTCTGACAAAGCACTGACCCCAAGCAGCCCATCTACACCTTGCCTCTACTGCAATTTCAGCCATGCATGCCAAACTTCAGCAACTGCAATGACTTCCACAGTTTAGGCAGCGTTCAAAAGAAAGGTGTTGCTTCCCAAAGGTAAACTGCATCTGCACCTGCGGCTTAACACAGCACTAGAAACAGCCTAGGAAAGACCTCATAGATCACTGTAGGATTTAAGATCATTGCCTCTGGACAAGAGAGCTCAAAATCCTCCTAAACCCAATGCAGCAAAAATACAGTTTTTACACATCTCTTTACCATTTTCTGGATTTCAACTTTGGGGGCGGGTTCCGTGGGATGAGGAAGAGCGCTCTCATGGGGTGCATGTCGCACAGGGCTGCAAAGGAAACCACAAGCTATTGAAGGGTGCACGTCCCCGCCGCGTCCCTCCCACAGCCTGACCCCGCTGACCCAGCCGGGCCAGGAGCCTGGCTCTCCCGACAGAGAGGAGCAGTCCTCCACAAACACTCCCAACAGCACAGCACCCGCCGCAGAACCGCACTGTTAGTCAACAAAATTCACACTCCAGCCAAGGAATAAAGTCTCTGAGCACACAGAAATCTTTCACGACAACATGCTGCTATTGCCAGTTAAAACAGATTTGAAAGAAAGGCTGCATGGCAGGAACAAGTACAACTTTCTTCATATTTTTTATATATAAGGCTTCAGAAGGACATAAAAAAGCTCACCTTTCTAATACACCAAAGGGTGTTTTCTCATAAATAGAAGTTAAAGTTGGGACTGAAATACTTATCTAGTTCATTATGTCTGGCTTATGGTTCAGATAAACGATAAGCTAAATTTTAACCAAGCTCTTAGCTACATCGTTCATGGCATGAGAGAAAATGCAGGATGAAGAAAACCTGATGCGAAACGGAGAGCTCATAAACTGTGTCACTGGCACGGAGCGTAATGACTAAGTGCACATTTCATCTATTCTGTGTTTCGGGAGCGTGAGCACCATTATCAGACAATCTGCAACAGATTCTACTCATGCATTCAGACGCTGGGGTTTCTCTCCAGCCCAATGTACTTCTCTTTAGCGTTACTGTTGTGGAAAGCTGAAGCTACAAAGAACTCTGCAGAAAGTAAATACCGTCACATCTCATCTATCCCAGGCATTTTGTATGGAATTATGAGTGTGCTCCATCTGCCATGGAGAAATATCGAGGGTCAGAAGTCTTCCTTCACAAAACAGAGCTACTGAATGACAACTGATAGGAACTATACGGAGGCTGATTTCTTATGATACATAGGTCTTCAGCAGTGATTCTCTTAACAGGAATGGACTTACAGCATTACAGAACTAGTAAAAATGAGAAGACTGTGGTCTGGTAAAGCCTTCACTGCCTTCTATTAATTTCACTGCCTGCATCCACCTGCTGTCATTTCTCATATCTGGGTTCTGGTTTTGACTTTTTCCTTTGTATTTTCTATAGCATGTGATACAGTGGGGATGGGGAGCAGAAGGAGTCTGGTTTCTAGCTATGGGTCCCAGACACTGTTGTACTACAGTAAACAAAACACAATGCAACTGAATATAATCCATAGCATTTCCCTGCCAAAGCTAGTGAAAAACATCAAATACAAGTGGCACGAGGAATTAGCATGCAAAGCTACAAAGTCTCTCTCAAAGAAAACCCCCCACGGGCTCATGTCTCAGGATTAAGCTTCAGTTAGGCTGAAGCACAGTGTCTGAAAGCACTCCTGGACTCCAGCTGGCTCCTGAGCGCTGCGAAAAACCAAGTCTGACGGGAGAACAGTCAAGTGTGTTTTTTAAAAAACACAGCCTACATGCTCTCAAGCTCAGGCCAGAGTATCATTTATTTTATCTCCTGTGCTCTCAGCAGCGACCAGATAACCCATCACATCACATCTGCTTCGTGGGCGCTGGGGCAAAGCAACCGGTCCTCCGCAGAAACAAAAATGCATGAGGTCTTTGCATCCGCGCTGCAGCCACCGATCGCTGCCCGACGGCTGCAAGAGGCTAACTGGAGGAGCGAGGGGGACAGCTGGCAGGCGAGGGCAGGCTGTAAAACTATGGCAGTCTGCTGTCAGGTTGAGAATGTGGTCATGGACTGAAGCCATTACATGAGCAAATACAGTATTCATCCCAAAACCTGTGAGAATCAAGTCAGTCCCAGAGTAAAAATATAACCTTTAGGCCTAGCTTCTCTCACCACCATATTTTTTTTTTTAGTGACCTAAACCCAAAGCCACTCTTGCTAATTTTTCCTGCTAACTTGTCGATCACTTCTGCTTAGCTGTACCCACAAGCAGTGATCAACAAAGTGATGCTAACAAGAGCTCTAAGAAAAAATTTTTTGTCTCCCTAGGAAATGAAGGCAAGGAATCAAAAATATAGACTTAAAGGGTCTAAAAGGAAGAGGGAATCAAAAGAGCCCAAATGAGAAAAAGTTCATAGATTATTTTTAAAGATACAGCCAGAACCAGAATTTTGTACATCTGTGCATTAGCCAAGCATGAGCTATTTTAACACAGAACATGTTCACAAAGCATAGATACCCCCGCCTTTATACCAAATCACTTACGAGGAGCTCCTTCGGCCATTTCAATAGCAGTGATTCCCAGAGACCATAGGTCACTCTGCAGGAAAAGAAACATCGCACATTGCAACTTGCAGCATTCAAGCTTTTGTTTTGTTTTGTTTTGTTTTGGGTTTTTGGTTTTGGTTGGGTTTTTTTTGTTGTTTTTACAGTTTCCCCTAGATTTCTCCTGGATCGAGTTGTTTTAGTTGGAGTGACATACATTCTGCTCCCTCCCATTCCCTACTGAGCGTTTAGGAAGTGTGCTAATAGCCAGAAGCTTCCCATTTCCCATGCACCTCTGAACAGCTGATTCATCATTTAAGCAGCCAGCCCCAAAATGCAGGCCTTCTGCATTCAAAAAAAAAAAAAAAAAAAAAAAAAGAGGCAAAATATAGCAGGCACCATTAAAATATATGTCTTAATTTTTTTTACAGTTTCCCCTAGATTTCTCCTGGATCGAGTTGTTTTAGTTGGAGTGACATACATTCTGCTCCCTCCCATTCCCTACTGAGCGTTTAGGAAGTGTGCTAATAGCCAGAAGCTTCCCATTTCCCATGCACCTCTGAACAGCTGATTCATCATTTAAGCAGCCAGCCCCAAAATGCAGGCCTTTTTCATTCAAAAAAAAAAAAAAAAGAAAAAAAGAGGCAGAATATAGCAGGCACCATTTAAATATATGTCTTAAATCTTTTAAACTGGTCTCATGAGGCAGTGAGACACAGCAGTGCCTCACCCCCCTGCTCCAGGCCAAAAAAGTTCTTGGTCTTAATGCTTATTTCAGAACAGTCATTGCTGAGTTTCTACACTGATGGAACAGAAATTATAGTCAGGCCTTGGGGTCTGACTTTTTCTGTCTACAAGGTCTCCAGTCGCATGTTTCTGAGCACATGAAGGGAGAGCACATCATGCAGTCAGATTTATGCCTCAGTTCAGCTCAGTTAATTTCGAGTGGAGTTTCCTTTATCAGCTTATCTGGATGCTAAGGGCCAGATTTTGATCATGGAAGGTAAATCAGAAACACTACCAGTGACTGTAAACACCTCACAGATTTCCACTTGATTAATCGTGTGCATTATTTTACTATTTTTTGTGTCTAAACGTTGCCAAATGAGAGGCACGTGACAAAACCAACTTGCAGGGCTTCTCTAAAACTACCTCTTAAAAAGGGAGCGACAGAAGACAAACCTTCGAAGATTAGAACCAATATAACGTTACACGAATAGCAACTCATACCCAGCCTGGCATTCTAACTAAATCTGACTTTATCAACAGAGCCTTCTCAGTCCAGCTGCTCTGAACCGAAAAAAATACACAAGCTGAAAACTAGTTCGCATCATAGTTTGTGGAGGGATTTGACAATAAAACTGGTGGGAATTTAATAGATGCATGATCCTGACTTGTTATTAAGTTAACGGCTGAAAATTAGAAAAGTCTCCTAGGCGTAGTACCGCAGGTTTTGGGGATAACGGGAGAAACAACCAGCCTATGAAGAATTTTTGTTTGGAGTTTCAAAGCGCGAGAGGCAGACAGATGAAAGGGAGGATGACATCAGTGTTTGTAAAGGTCAGTGTGTATATATATGTATATATTTTTACTCATTTGTTAGAATTTTTTTTTTTTTTTTAAATCAGAGCTGGAACAGCAAGAAGTTACAGAGTGGCTTCCTGCTACTTTGCTCATCATATCAGCTATAAATCTCTGTCCAAAAGACCGGCCCCGTGCCACCTTCTGAGTCATAGTGCTGTCTGCACAAGTGCTTCCAAAACCCTCCGCTGATCAGTTTTAAACTACCATCTGCAGAATCTATTCGGAAGCAGACATAAATGCACGCAGATGAACTGCGATTATTACTGAAGGCAAAGAAACCTCAAGCATTAGGGGTGCACGTTCCTAATGCTTATAAGAAAAGACCGGCCCCGTGCCACCTTCTGAGTCATAGTGCTGTCTGCACAAGTGCTTCCAAAACCCTCCGCTGATCAGTTTTAAACTACCATCTGCAGAATCTATTCGGAAGCAGACATAAATGCACGCAGATGAACTGCGATTATTACTGAAGGCAAAGAAACCTCAAGCATTAGGGGTGCACGTTCCTAATGCTTATATCTTCTGAAAAGTACACATTCTGAAAAGGTAATCAACTGGGGGCAGGGAATGAAGACAAGAGATTAATTTCTTGAGGTTTCAGTAGAAGATTTACATGGTATGAAAAATAAAATAAAATCCAAGAACATTCTTTGGGCATGACTGACACTCACACAACGTGACCTCACTCTGCCAGTGCAGCACAGAAGGTCTCAACAAGAGAGAAACACAGCCTCTGAATCACTGGAAAATGGAAGCAATAACAGGTTCTTCTAATAAATACTTCTGAAGCCATAAATACAATGAGAGGTGCAAAGTGGCAACCAAGAGAGAGACCAGAGGTCACTCAGAAGACGGCTGCTCAGAAAGCCATCCCTGGAAAACATCCTGCATGGTAAGTGCAGACAGACAAATGACAACACTGCTGGAAACAAGCCAGAGGACAAAGAATAGGCTTTCTAAGTCTCTTTGGAACAGCATCAGCATATTATAAGAGTTAGGAGGAGAACCAGAAGCCCTTGTTCTTGTGCTCCCCAGTACAAGGAAGCCATGGACATACTGGAGTGGGTGCAGCGAAAGGCTACAAAGATGTTTAAGGGATTGGAGCTGGGAGGCTTTGGGCTGAGGGAGATGGAACTGTTCAGCCCGGAGAAGGGACGGCTCAGGGGATCTCCTACGGGCATACAAATTCCTGATGGGAGGGGAGTAAAGAAGACCAAGCCAGACTTCTGAGAGGTGCCCAGTGACAGGACAAGAGGCAACGGGCACAAACTGAAATACAAGAAATTCTGTGCCTTCTCACCTCAGCCACCCTGCGAATGACCAGAAGTCATTAAGGGATGGGAAACCTCTTGCAGTCATGGGCTCATAAATGAGTGAAGTGATACTAATTATTGCCAGTTAACTCAGGATTTGCAGCTGAGTACAGAGTAAAACAGCTCTATCACAGAGGTGAGCAGTGACTTGTCGTATTAGTATTACACTACTTCAAGTATTCCTTCCATATTTACCTCTTCCTTTCTACCCTATTCTGACCTGCAACCTCCATAAATCAGTATCTTTTTTTGCACAGAAGTTCAGGAAAGCACATTTCATGTATTAACAACTCACCAAAAAACATTCATAATGAAACTCCACTCTTAAAAAGAGCCACCACCCACATATTACAAATACTTCCATTTGTACAGCTATAATATTACTGCTGTTTAAAAGGAGGGAAGTTTGAACTTTTCAAATGCCGTACCTGAGCAGGATTTCAGCAGTAACCTGCATGTTTTGCTACCTTATGCAGAGCTGTAACACTTACTCTGTAATCATACGTAGAGTCTGGGTTCTCCTCGCAAGCAATGACCTCGGGCGCCATCCAATACGGTGTGCCAATAAATGTGTTTCTTCTCCCAATAGTCCTATCCAGTTGAGCGCTTACACCAAAATCCACTGAAAAGCCAAGTAGAGGTAAAGAAATTAATGGAGTTGTATCCACGTGGCAGAGCATGTGCTTGGTTACTTTCATACTGTTTAGAATACCCAACCTTTGGGCTACAATGCATATCAAATCTGAGTTCCGCCAGTACATCGTGTCCAATAGTTGAAATTTGACTGCCCCCTTTTTTTTTTCTTTTTGACAGAAGGATCAAATAAACAGCATGCTAATTCTGCCAGGCACGTTACAGCAGACAGGAATTGCTGTAGAAAGACATTACAGAATAATTTACGCTTAACCTAAATGCCACATTGACTAGGATTCGATATCTTTAACTCGTATCTGAAAGGAAAAATAGTATCTATGGACAAGGCAAATTTGAATACGTCTAATATGGCCATTTGTGAAAGCTGGAAAGAACTATCACATCATTTCATTTTGAGATGTTTGGAATAACTCCTTCCCTACATTCAAACACTGTCTTAGAACAAGCTGGAGAGTATACCAGTGTATTCTGATCTTATACTCATAATGAGAGAACCGTGTGGTGCTTTTTGTGCTGAAAAGGGTGTTACTTTCATCAGGATTGTATAGCGAAATGGTTTTGTTCAGATATGAAGAAGGGCCCATACAACCAATAATTATGTGATTGTATTTTTCTTTGAACAAACATCTAAGATACACTAATTGGATCCACTGGGCATAGCACTTGAGTGCTATTCACAGAGAAGACAAAATAACAAGGAAAAGAAAGGACTGAAAGGAGACGGCCCTATAGTTACCATCAAGGAGCAGATTTTCTCACTTACGTTACGTCATTGCAGATCATCTGCAAACCACGATCATTTGTACTACTATAATTTCATATGCCTGTTTAGCAAACCTTCTTCAACAGTAAGTTGGACCTGTCCTTTGGGACCATCATGCGCTCTGTGCTTCTGATGGGAAGTGTGCACACTTACGCTGAAGTGGAATGGAACTGGACTGAGGACCTCCTGGGTTTCTAGCTTCTTTAAGACACATGAGCTAAATCTCTCTGGAAACAACTCCTTTTTTTTCTTTTTACATTGTTGTACTTAGTAAATCTGATTCATCTTTACCCAGAGTTAGAAAGGTTTAACTTCCTTGTCAACCATGTGAAGAATGCTGGGACTAGTTAACTATACAAGACCATAAACACACACAACCCCCCATCTCACCAGTTTTAAGAGGGAACAGTTGAAAACTAGTACATATCCTTTAGAGACTACAAGCAAAATCTTGCCTTCATTTAATACAACAGCAAAACTCCCTTTGACTTCAGTGAAGCCAGGATTTCACCATAAGGTTAAACCATAATGAGATTTAAAGTCCTTATTTTTACTTGCTCCAGCTAAACATCCTACCGCACATCCACAGGCCATGTTTATTGTTTTCGTTCTCCAACTCTGTGGTGAATTCTTTCAATGAAAGAGAGAGGGAGCGTAAAGATCATCCCAAAATAAGAGAAGTGCTCTCCTTGAGACTGCTCCTTTAAATCATCACCATGCGTTCTCTGTGATGTCTTCCCAAAATGTGAAAGACATCCCCTCCTCGAGGGAGACATGTACTTGAGTTTAGTCTTAGGAAGTCAGAAGTTGTCAACACTGACATGTCGCAGCTAGAAAAGGAAGTAACTCTCCAACATTTTTGAGAGATGACTATTCATAAGAGCTACTCTTCAGGAGTAGCCCTTACACATGAGTAATCTCACCTATTGGCAGATTTAGGAAAATCTCTAAGACCACTTCCCTTACAGAAATGGATTAGCATAACTTATTCCCCAAACTTTTTTATTTTGGAAGCCTTTGCACGCTGGGATCTGCTGTGAAGGCCTGATGGTGCTGTGACTTACTCGACAGGTTCTGTGTTTGACTGCCCAGAAGTAGCTGTATTCCCCACGGGCTGTGAGTGACATCTTTGCAGTACATGTCACATTTTCAGCTCTTTCTACATGACAGACACCTTATAAACACAAGCATTAATGCTACTTGACATATTTGTTGCTCTTAGGTTACTGAAGGTTCTTTCTGAGACAAGATGGAAATCTTAAATTTTTACGAACAGGTTTCTAGCACACATTTAAGGAAACTTACCCAGTTTTACTTCTGCATTTTCTGTGAGAAGAACATTCTGTCCTTTAATATCTCGATGGATGACATGGTGAGCATGAAGATGTGCCAAGCCCTAAAAGAAAACCAGACTTTCCTTATTCTTTCTTCCTATCATTATCATGAGGGTGGCACTGTGGCCTTTTTACACTTTTACCGTTCTCAGACTTTATTCATAGGGAAAGTCCTTTAGATGTTATTAGCAACATGAAGACCCCAGTTTCAGGGAGGAGAGAGGACAGCAACCGCAGGTTTGATTGTCTTCTTTACCCACAGGACTGACAGTAGTGGAGCATCTCTTAAGTCAAGTGTGAGGAGAACAAGGTAGCAATATTTTAAACTTCTATCTCAGAATTAAGGGATGCCTCCTTATACTATGTGTTAAAAGCAAACAAAAGAGAGAAAGAGCAATGCAGAACGCTCTGTAAGAGGACCGGACACAGCAGCTGGCCAGCCACAGTGCCTTAAATTCTGCATTCAGCAAAACTGTGTTCAATGGTAAATGGACCACAGAAAGTTCAAAATACCATGTCAAACCTCTTTTTGAACGCAGCAAATATCGTTTTCATTCAGCTAATATTTGCAATATTCTGTCTCCCCCTTCATTCCAAAATTGTCCATGGTTAAACTAGCATAGATATAAAGGTACACACTGAAATAATACATTATAGTAAGCCAGGGGATGCTTCACTCAAAATGCTTAGTCTCTGTAATATTAATGACTTCAAACAGAGCTTCTACCCAACTTCTACATCTTCCAGAAGGAAACATTGCAACTGGGTCATTCGGTTTCAAAAGAATCATCATTAAATCCAATCTCTTGTTTTACACCAGCATGCTGTTATGGTTTTCAGTGGCATGAGCATAAACCAAATATTTTAACATCAATTGCTTTAATAGAGATATTATAGCCACACAAATGAAGGTAACGTGACCAGACCAGTAAGTTTTTTTCTTTTTTGCAGAAGAGCTCTCTCCACACCCTCCAGCTATAGTTATTACAATCTGCAGTCTAATGCCAAATCCTTGTAAGATGGCCAATGTTCTCTACTGAGCACGCTTCTCAACTCCTCTGCTCCAGAAGCAAAGATTTACCCCTATTCAAGCATTACTTTGGCATGCCATTTGAATTCCAGCTCCCAGAATACACATTTATCTTACCATTATTTAGAAAAGAAGTAAAACTCCATTACAATGAAGATGGATCAGTAACTCTGTAATGGGTTTTGAATTTAGAATGACAGGTTCCAACTTTTTCTTTTTTTTTTTCCTCAGGCTAGTTCATTAGATCACGCTTGGGAATTGTTTTATCCTCTGTATTTTCCAAGGGGGAAGAGAAGAAAAAAAAAAAAAAAAAAAAAAAAAAAAGCCCTAAGCCTGCATAGAATGAAATATAGCCCCAAAAATCGTCTTGGGGAATATTGCCCCAGCAGGGCCACCTTTAAGGTTTTGGAATGCTGTTTAGTCAACATTGCTTCTAACAGTGCAGAAAAGAGGCCCCTGAGTGTGTGCAGGTAAAGAAATTATGAACAGAAAGATCTTACACAGCATGAACAGCTGAAGCAGTGAGCAGTAAGATCTCCTGATGTGGAGGACAGACTTACTGAAAACAGAAAATTTATTTACTTTTCTAGATGCCCAGAATCTGGACTTTCAGAAGATGGCTACTTGCCACAGGAAACAGGAATTTTCTGTTCTTCATACAGAAAATGCGATTAACTACAATAATATGGGATGTCAAGCAGCCGTCATGCTGGCTCTTTGGGCTCTTCTGAACTCAAGCCCATGAGCCCCGTGGATCAAAACCTTTAAACAATAATGCTCATTAGTGACCAATGGCTCAGAAAGGCCTTTTTGTTGCAAATGAGCAACACAGCTCTGTTGGCACGACTCACCCTGAGAACCTCTCTGCAGATGTATGCAATCCAATCTTCCTTGAAACAGTTCCCTTTCGTCTTCTTTACCAGGTCAGTGACAGAGCCCGCACCACAGTACTCCATCACCAACTGCAGGAGGACAAACGGAATACACCTTTACCACAGCGCTGACAGGGTGCCAGAGATACCATGTGCAAACACCCACTCCACCACAATCAAGGTGTGGCAAACTACACACAACCGTCCCAGATGCCAAGTGATATAAACTCTCATTTCCTGAATCACACACATTGCTGAATAAATAAAAAACCTCAGCAGTGCTTCTCTCCTATTGCGGGTTTGCAGGTTATGGGTCCTTTTTAAGGAACTACAAAATCAGAAAAACAAGAGCTAATAGCACTGAAAAACATGGGATTTTTTTTTTAAATTTGAAATGTCTCATTTTGCTCCAGAGCTTCAAAAATCTTGCAGCCAAAAAAACTGGAGGATTAGTTTTTCTTCTTTGCTTTATTGCCAATTCCTCTGTTCCCTTTTTTTTATTTTCCAACTGAAAAAAGAAGAGGAAAGCAAACAAGAAAAGAGAGGAGGGGAAGAGGACAAGCTCTCTTTCACTTTTGTTTAAAAAAAAAAAAAGTTACAGAAACATTTAATTTGGGGGGGAAAACAAAAAACTTGGACACAAACCAGAATGACAGCACAAGTCACAAGTATCATAACATAGTTTATGCCCATCCTCAAAGGAAATCATAGGGGATGGAAGACATGTAGGGAGGAACAATTTTTCTCTTTTATACGTTATCCTTCAGAACAATGACTTAAGAGTTTCACTGAGAGAGTCCAAGCCAAGCACACTGGAGCGCTAAAGAAAGGAGCTGTAAATCTAGTGAACAGAAATGGCACTGAACACTTACCCAGAGCTGATCATCTTGGCCTGCAGGACTTTTCTTTACAAATGCGCCATAATACGTAGCAATATTCCGGTGATGGGAGTACTTTTTTAGCATATTTATCTCCAGCTTGATTTCCTCCTCTTCATTCTGTAGCAAAAGAGAGCAGAAGGCTCCCTTGGTGACCAGAGATCACCGAGCTGCAGGGCTGCCCAGAGCTGCAGGGCAACCTCTGTCTTTGGAGGCCTTCAACACCCAGCTGGAACCAGCCCTCAGCAACCAGGTTGGATCCCATGGGTGACCCTGCTTTCAGCAG